TTCTCCTCCCCCTCTACTCTGCCCTGATGAGTAGTGGCACACAATCTGGAATGTTGTGTCCTGTTCTGGGCCCCACAGTTCTGGAAGGACAGGGAACTGCTTGAGAGAGTCCAGCACAGAGCCACCAAGATGATTAAGGGAGTGGAGCATCTCCCTTATGAGGAAAGGCTGAGGGAGCTGGGTCTCTTTAGCTTGGAGAAGCCTGAGGCATGACCCCATTAACATTTATAAACATGTTAAGGGTGAATGTCAGGAGGATGGAGCCAGGCTCTTCTCAGTGATGCCAAATGGTAGGACATGGGGCAATGGGTGCAAGCTGGAGCATAGGAGGTTCCATGTAAACATAAGGAAAAACTTTTTCACTGTAAGAGTGACAGAGCACTGGAACAGGCTGCCCAGATAGGCTGTGGAGTCTCCTTCTCTGGAAACATTCAAAACCTGCCTGGACACTTTCCTGTGTGACCTACTGTAGGTGATCCTGCTCTGGCAGGGGGATTGGACTAGATGATCTTTCAAGGTCCCTTCCAATCCCTAACATTCTGTGATCCTTGGAAGGACATTCATTTTTGTTTCACTGTACGGTGCAGAGGCCTTTCCATTTTATTAGTGAATTCTCAGGCTGAGGTTATTCACCTCAAAAGTTTTGTTTACATCTGACAGTATGTTTATCCTGGGATATTACACTGTTCTTATTAGCCCATCTAAATTCAGACTGATTATGCTCTCCCCCAACTGAAAGGTGAATTGTCAAAGCCTGTGATTTTTTGCAACTCACTTTAAAGACTGGGACAGAGCTAAATTATTTCTGCAAGAGCACATAGCAAGATAGAAAAGAGAATTCAGGAGTGCTGTACCATTCAGGGAAGGAGCCACTGTTTCTCTTTTGCATATTGATAGACCTGTGATGTGTACATCTGCTTCAGTTTATGGAGTGACAGGTTCCAGAACTACTGCCAAAGGTAACAGCATAAGCAAGTCTCATGGGATGTTCCTCCTCCTTAATTTGTACTGAATATGTCCACTCATTGATCACTTTTACTAATGCTCTGCAATGGTATCAAATGCCTGGATGTTTCTACCTACTCTGCAATAGTACCCTAATTGTGAAAGAACTGCCCTATGTGAGAGCCCTGCCGTCAGTCATCTCAGTAACCTGGGATATTAACATTTACTTCAGAGCCTCTTAGATCAGAACAAATACATGCCAGTCTGTAATGCCCGATGGGTGTCCAACTCAGAATCAAACTTTGCTTCTTCACTGTCTGCTAACATGGATTTCTATTCTCAATTATACATAGTTCTAATTTCTCTAACAGACTGGAGAAGAAACATCGCAGCTCTTCGCTTTTGCCTGTACAGGCAAATCTCAATGTTCTTGTGTGGAAATGTTAGCAAGTATTTACTGTGTGACTGGCTGAACAGTCATGGGAGAAGTGGCCACTGATGGGGAGAGGTGACAGGGCAGGTGGGAGAGGTGGAAGTGAGAGAAGGCCTCTGGGCAGCCATCAGGACCTAGATTCTCTCATGATTACACAGGTTAACAGAGCTCATTACTCCAGCTAAAGGCAAGCACACTAGTCCTGCTACTTCAAGGCCCATTTCTCCCCTGCACCGATTTATTTTCCGTGTCCCAGGATTTTTATTTTATCTTTTAAGAGCAATAAAACGTGCTACTTCCAGTCCTGAAAACTCAGGAGTACTGCAAAAATCTCTGACAAGACTCTCCAGTTAAAAACAAACAAAATTAAAACCCCAAGCAAACAGAAAGCCATGCCCTCAAGACCAAAGTTTTGTTCCTCATAAACGTCTCATCTATCAGTAGTAAACTATTGCTCTCAAATTAGCAAAACACCTTCTTGAAAGGCTGCCACGGAAGAATCTGGACTACCCAGTTGTCTGTCTGGAGAGAGAAAGGAGCAGGGTTTTTCATGGCATAGATCAGCAGTACCCTTCAGATCCCTTCCCAGCCAATTCTCAAAAGATCCCTTTCTATCACAGTGGATGGATGACAGAGAAAGAGCTAACAGATATACACAGTCCCATTTTCTGTACCAGGCTTCCCTGGGAGGTGGAAGTCTGTGTACATACACATGGGCCCTTCCAGCAGAATCCTTGGCCTCATAACAGCACTAAGAGCTTTATCAATCAAAAAGCCCCCTAAATTAGGGCCAGGACAGCAGCCTGTCTTTGTGAGAGTCACATACCAGTAAAATAAGTAAAATGCTGGAATTGCTCTTCAGAATGGGAAGTAATGGGTTAGTGCAGTTCAGCTGATCAGAAGCACCAAAACCAGCTCCTTTGGTGTCAGTTTGCTTGCAGTCTCCCCAGGAAAACCAGAGCTGGAGGATCTGGTGTCCAAATCTCCCCATAAGTTCAGGGTAGCGCAGGAAGAATTTCAGTAGGAGAGGACAGTGGACATAAACCAAGCTCAGATCTGGAAGATTATCCAGGATCCTCTTTATGGTACACAATGGCCTCTGGTAAGTGTGTGGGAGGGAAAAGGAGAGGGGGAGAGAGAACAAAATATTCACTGAATATCGAAAAGCTGAAGTTATGAGAGTTTACTGTGAGAAAGAATCACACTGCCTTTTAAGTAGACAATCATATATCAGTTAAACATCATTTTGTGAAGCCCATTTGCATCACAAAGGCTAAGAAACTTGTAGGCTTTATACAGTGCTCAAAGCTGTGCAGCAGCAAAGAGCCATATGGGAACACTAGAAAGCCTGCTGCAGAGGCTGTAGATGTGCTCAGGAGACTGAAGCTATGAAATTTATTATATTACGTATGTGAATTCACAGCCTATCCAACGCATTTACACTTCCCACACATACACAAGTTTATTCAGTCAAATCTATACTCCCTGGAGGCTTTTCACAGTTAACTTTCCAGAGTGTAGATGCACTGCACACTCTTCACTCATTCACTGCTCACCACGTATGTCAAAATACTTTCTGCAAGAGGGTTGAAGGTGAGTGGGGAGAAACCTTGGTTACAACAAAAGGGTCCAAGAGGTAGGAATTAAATCTTTTTTTACCAAGTCCAGGGCTTTGCCTTTGTCCTGACAGACAGCAAGGAGGTAAAGTGCAGCTCTGAGTATATATGGAGGGGGACAGTCTCCATGGTCCTGTGCCGACAGGAGGAAATTTCTTACGGCTAAAAATAATTCTGCTTCTGGGACAAACCTGCATTCAAGGAGATTGAAGTGGAAACAACATTAAACATGCCTTACCCACCAGTACATGGTATGTAATGGCCACAAAACCACTTTGCCTGGTATACTCTTGGCTCACCTGTCCCCAAGAGTGTAGGCAAAGTATAAGAGTAGTATGAAGCAGTGTTGGTGGCTGCAAAGAGACTGATCTAAAGAGAAAGGCTCAGGTGTTTCAGCCAGGAGGAGAAGGCTTTCAGCAATGGTGTAGTTTAATTGAGGCAGACCCTTCTGCAGGAGCTCAGACATCTCTTGCTCTGGAAATAAAACTAATATGAGCAGGCAGGCAGTTACGAGGAACGTCTAGGACAAAGCAGAGTGGAACACAGAGATGGAAGGATCTGCCTGCCCTAACATATTAAATTAGGGAAGCTCCTGAGGTAAGAAAAATCAAAGCTAACTTACTACCCCACTGTCTGCATGCAGCAAGTGCACCTCTATGATTTGGCATGAATAGAGGTGTGAGACCCGATTTAATGGAGCTGGCTTTGAGGATGAAAAGACACTTCTGTTTGAGGTTCCCAGCTCTTTGCTGATGCTGCCTGTATAGTGACCAACCACAGCCAGTGGGAAAAGCAGGTTTTGTGATGTGGAAACTTTAATCTCATTTATTTGGGACTTACCTATTATGGAAAGTTACAGTATAGACAGGAAAGCTTTATAGCGTATGCCAGAGGGAAAAATCACCTTCATCTGCAGATATGGATGACTGTGTGACAAGTAATATTGTTTCAATTAAGCCATGCACAGTTGTACTAATAAATATCACCATGTAAACAAAACCATGGGCAGATGAAAAACATTCTTTCAGGTAGGGTTCCAAACTCTTCAAAAGGCATTCTCTGAGTGTTATCTCCTTGCCAGACCAGCTTAAAAAAAAAGCTGGGAGGGAAAAAAAAATCTCTAAATAGAGCTTCTGTATATCCTCCTTTCTCTTCTCCTTTGTCTTTTTAAATTATTATTATTATTACTATTTTTGCAATGATTGCCTAAATAGAGGGTGGCAGGGCCTCAAACTAAATGAAGCAATGTGTCTCCCCAAACTTGCCCTCCTGAGAAGAAGTTCTCTCCTTCTCTGTGGCAGAGTAAAGGCTCAGGCACAAGCTGCAGAGGAAGCTGGAACAGGCCTGATTCAAGGCAGGGTTACTGTGAAGAAGAGCAGAAAGATACAGTGAAGAAGGCTAGAAACATCCTCTTCATACTTCTAATATCACACGCTGTCTGCCAGAACCTCAGTTTACTGAATGATCACATACAAGCACCTGCCCCATCACAACAAGACTCCAGGAGCCAGTCTGGGTTCCAAGAGTATTAGGAGCTCCCAAAGGACAGTCAGCTCACAGATGTGGAGGGTGTGCACGGTGACGACAGTGAACATGTTCACATGTCTTGGGATAATATGAATACAGTGGGGTACTCTCACAATCATCATACCTGCTATACACACAGGGAGTCCTGTGAGGGCAGGACCCCTGTAACACTGCAGAGAATGGGAGGTGTTTGAGGGTGACTCCTGATACCCGATTCCTCTGGCAAACACCAGCAAGGAGATTTTGTAGCAATGGTGTGTCCAGGGACGAACAATGAAGAATGGTAAAAGGGCGGGAACAACTCTATTTCCAGGTATTTTTCTCTCTCTCCAATTATTTCCTTGCAGAATAGGACACAACCACACATCTTTGCACTGTAACACACCATCCTTGGTGCCCCACACTACTTTATTCAGAGGCCTCAATCATTCCCCACACATACCATTCACAGGCACAAACATCCTCACTCTAAGTTCCACAGTGGTAACCTGGACTAGGGTGCTGTGTGTTTTGTTTACTCTTTTAATGAGATGCAGTCACAGGAAAGAGGAGGTAAAACATCTCTACAGATGTACAGAGAGTCTCTCCAAGTGCTCCTCAACTAGAAATCATAGCCTCTGCTACAGAAGACCCTTTGCAATGTCTGCTGTTGAAGTCTTCCTCCTCCCTCCCATTTCTTATACATTATCACATCATGAGGAACAAAGAGAGTGGTAGTATGTGCTTAGGAAGCCTGAGCTCAGATAGAACTGATGCTACTCTTACTTCTTTTCAAAACACCCACTGATTTGACTACTCCAAAGTCAGGCTGCTTTACCTCTATCTGTGCAGCTCACAATGGAGCACAGAATTCTCAAAACACTGTGTAAATCCACCCGCCCCCTACTTGACTGCTTCTCCCTTCTCCCACATCCAGCTTTTCCCTCCTCAGTTACTATTTACATTTTGCAATGAGATACAACCACTCTTGAGTCTTTCAGCTTCCTGTCTTTCCTAATCAGGTGCATTAGATAAGGTAGGATCTGCTTTCCCATCTGAAAATTTTTTACTTGCTCACAATCCACACATCACAATACCTTTGTACAGAGCAAAATCTGGCCTTCAGCTCCAGCGTCAGTCGGATGAAGGAGGAGGATACTAGACAGAAAGCAAGAGGAAAATGTTGAAGGAGCACAGAACATGTACCATAAGGGAAAAGAGTAGGCAGGTCCCTTATCCATCCCCACACATCTCCACGCAAACCTGGTGAACAGGGCAGGTCTGTTCTCAGTAAGAATACATTTGTTAGGCTTTCTCTCCCAAAGCAAACTACTCCAAGTTTGGTTTGGGGGGGAGAGTATCTGAAATTCATTTGTTTTCTCAGGAGGAGAAGGGAAGATTTGCCAGCTTCACATATTTGGAATAGAGGAATTCTCTACCTCATCTCTCTGATGTGTGAAGAGTAAGGAATACACAGAGTAAATAGGACTTCTACATAGTAAAATCTCAGCAACAATTCCAGCATAATCCCTGTCTACAGGAACAGCCAATTCTGAATATTCCAGAGGAAAGGGTAAAGCTGACACAACCTACTTATCTAAAATAAAATCTGTCCCATCATC